CTAATCTTTAATTTAGTTTTTCTTAAACCTTTTGATGAGCTTGCGTAGTCAAACTTAAACAACATATAGGATATAAATATAACAAAAAATATGTACTTAAAATATATATTTAGCATAAATACTCGTATAAACATACCAAGCTTGTCTTAAAAACAGCATCCATCCCAAATGTTAAGGCCGCATGTAAAACATTTGAGGCATTTGTCGACATCAATGTCGATCAAGCCTAGCGTCCTGAGCAGCAGTAGTACCAACCCGATCACCAGGTTCAATACCAGAGCTAACACTCCGGATAGTATCCTAGACAGTACTGGTCCGTTCCCTAACTGGATCAACCGGAACGCTGGATCTGGGTCGGGGTCCGGTAGAGCATCGGGGTCAGCTGTGGATTCTGACAAGTGTATTTGCTGTAATGAAAAATAATTTACAAACAATATTCTATAATTAATTATACTTAAAACAAAAAGGGTTTTCTCTGTTACATCCCTTTTCTAGCTGTCCTACTAAACCGATCTTCATTAATTGAGGTGTCATTTTAATACAAGGTGAATTTGGTACAAATGTTGGGTGTACCTTCCTTTTGAACATACTAAAAGTCCCCTAAAATTGAAGCTGTGCTACGGCCGCCATATTGGAAAATGGCGGCATATTTCTGTATTTTTGGCTATAGTGACTTTATTATTAGAGATACAGGAAAAAGCTAAATATACAAAATGTAGTCCATCTTAAATTACACATTTTTACATTTTTTTTTTGTTGAGCCGTAGAGTGCTATGCCAAAAAAGATATGTGAATGCACATGTGCAAAATATATTTTTTTCAAGTTTTCAAATCACAAGACATACTTAATAAATCATGAATTCCGGAATTAATTTTACTTAACATTTTGTAAACATGTTTATCCCAATTCAAGTGCTGGTCTAATGTTATACCCCAAAAATTGGTACTAATTTCTTCATCAATATTTTGTAAGTTATAGCTTATTGTTGTTGGCTCCTTCTGTCCATTTTGTTTTAAAATTTATAAATTTTGTTTTTTGTAAATTCATCAAGTTTGGGTTATTAACACTAATACCGAAACCCCGGTCTGACAGGCCCATGGGAATTTTCAAAAACGCACGTTGGCAACACTGTTTACTTGGGAGATTCCATTCCCCCAATACCTTCCCCCCTTTTCCTCCCCTACCTATTGATATATTGTTTGTTCATTTTGCATGGGTGCCGTGACCTTGACAGGTTGTCTGTTCATAACATGCCTGTCCAGGGTGTCCACAGAAAATTTGTCATTAATTTCCATGACTTTCCATGACTATCCATGACCATTTACCATCGATTTCCATGACTCACGAACTTTACTCAAATTATAATATAACAAACACACACAAATAAAACTGCCTAGATTTTGCAGAAACTACTGAAATATGTATTAACAGACAACAATGGAGTACAATGGTACAACAATGAACTAATACAAACTCAAAAATCATAGAATAATACAACTGTAATAAATTGAATTGTCGAAAATTGTTGAAAAATCCAGAAAAATGCTACAGTAGTCGGAGTTACGGCGGACTAGAGCATTGAATAGTTCCCTCAAATCATCCATCATGGGGAATTTCCATGACTTTCCATGACCTTTTGCCTATTTCCATGACTTTCAATGACCAGAATTGTTTTCCATGACTTTCCATGACTATCCCTGACTTTCCAGAATGTGGACACCCTGCTGTCTCAGAAGCCCATAGTGTATTTTAAAGCGGGGTCTCACAGGCCGAGGGTTTCGGTTTGTGTGTGTCTAAGCAGGGTCCATTATTTTTCAAATGGGGTCTCACAGACCAGGGGTTTCGGTTAACGTCAGCCTAGGTAGGGTTTCGGTATTAGTTTTAAGATAATTCCCAATACTTTCAAATTCTACATAAGCGAACATTTCTGTTTGCTCAATTGAGTTGGAATGATATGACCAAATTCGATTTATCAGCATACAGAGAGTGTTGAATTTTAATTATATATTAAAGAATCTTTCATTCCACATAGATAGCACAAAAAAGCAGGGGCCCTAATGTTGAGCCTTGTGGCACTCCAAAAACTATTGGTTTATATGTTGAGCATGATTTAATAATTCTATTGTAATTCGTCAAGTGAGTGATTCCTAGGTATTGAGATCTTTCAGTGAGATATGACGTAAACCAATTAAGATCGTTTTGCTACTCCTAGTCTTTGAAGTTTTTCTAGTAGAGTAGAATGCCTTGAAAAGGTAAATGAAATGGACATGGGCACTTGATTCAGTTTGGACCATATTAAACTGCTCAATAGCGCACAGGTCCCCTAGTTGTTATTTATGAATTTTGAACAATATCCAGCTGCACAATTTGCACACAGGTCCACTTTAAGAAATCGATGATAATATTTACAATACATGACATGCTGTATTTGGTCGTTATAAGTGTTAGCATCAACGTGTTATAATTATTCAGCAGAAATTAAGTTAATTCTGTATGTTTTTATCTTTATCCAAATATAAGAAACGTTTAAAATTATGCGTAGCTTTACTGATAGACGGGAGGATGCGTAGCATTAAATTTTTGCCAAGGTGTCTTGAACTAATTCTAAAATGTAGAAAATATATTTACAGTTCGGTAAATTTACAGGTAAGGTCATGCCTGAAATAATTAAAGAAGATTTGGTGTCAGAAAAAAAAAGAAAATGGTGGAGTCGGATGTTTTGGGTAATGTATATGTCACTATTTCAGCACCCAATTCCCAAATATTCTTCTTTCTTTTAACCAAAACCTTTCTTTTAAAACAAAAACATTTCCTGATTGATGTGTTCTTCAACAGAAATCGCCCACAACTAAAGCAAAAAAACGCTAGCTGTAAAAAATCCTAATTCTTTGATGGACATTTTAATTTAGAAACATTTTCCTCAAAGATTAGATTACAGAAATACTAATTTTACCACTTATCGGAAGTCCTGTCAATCCTTTAAAAAACCCTCCGCCAAAATTAAAGCAGTCCACTAATCTATGATTTAAAAAATCACCCAACTAAATCACCTATTACGAAGGCTTACCAGTAAAACTATCGATAAGAAAGCATATATCATTATCACAGCACGTTTAATCATGATAAAGTTTTAAACTAATCAGAACCACATAGTTATTGGGACAGAACTTGGCCGACTAGCCTGGTATTTGATTTCCGCAGATAATTGCAATAGTGTGATTTACAACTGATAGCGATGTGTATATATAAGAGCCTTGATAACTGGCTGCCCTTACACTCACGGTAAGGTGAAACACTTTTGCTGCTCAATGTGTAAAAAGTTGAGTAACGATTAGACAAGGAAATAAAAGTATCAATTGTCTATGATGGAAACTGCTTCTTTTTAAGAGGCCATTTGACTAAAACATATTTAATGGCAGATGTTATGATTATTATGCATTTATTTTATTCATTGACTCTTGGATATTGAATTATACATCCAAGCTGTCAGTGTTTTTTTTTTTTTTTTTTTTATTTGGTGAGCCGGTCACAGATTGCACTAGAGTTAAAAATTCACTAATACATTATTTTTTGTTAATACTTGGCCCAACATAAAGGATTCTATAATTTTAACCCAATAAGTAGTCATCTTATCATTTCAACTATGATAAAAAAATCAGCAATTTTCAATAGCGTTGTTGGAAATTCATTTGTTTATATAGTACTAATTCAAGATTTATCAACATCAGATATCATAATTTGTTGGTTTTTGTTTTTTATTAAAAGGTGTTTTATATTTTTAATTTATTTAAAACAATGAGAAGAGCGAGTAGTAGTAAGGATTTTAAGTTAGAAGGAACACAACAATTTTCCAAAAGAGAAATGTTTAAATATTTCTTAACTAATCAGAATTAAATTTTTTAGTTTATATAATTTCATAAAAGTTCTTATAATCTCACACAAGTTCTAACAAGCGCAATCCATCACCAAATCATCGTCAGCTCACTGCACTTTACGTCCATTTAGATCAACTGGTGACAACTTTAACATGGGGATGGAATGTCTAGTTTCATCAAAAGGCCTAGTTTCAGATGTATTATCAAACTAGAAATTGAAATTAGTAAAAAAATAATGGCCAAATTTAAAGATCACTAAGTTTTAGGCCGGCGCCACACTATCCCGTTTCGCCGGTCCGGTTAAACGGGACCCGTTTGGCGGGATGATTCAAACGCATGGGTTTTAGGGAGCGGTCACATTGTTGCAGTTGTAGTGTGTCGACGGGATCCACTGCATGCTGCTCAAAGTATTTTGCTACCGCAGGATAGAGCAGGATGGTATGACAGGGTAAAGTCAATGGGGTAAAAACACATCCCGCACTATACGGGATAGTGTGGCGCTAGCCTTAGACAGTAAAATGCAGTATATTGTCCCCAGGGTACTCAGTTGTTTTTAAATGTGAAATGTTTTACTATCAATGTGGGTGTTCGTGTGTTTTTTATGTACTTTTATTATCAATGACGACTTTCATATACAGAGTTAAATAACCTGAACGACACCTTGTAGGGCCTGAAGATGGTTCCTAGCTGAACCGAAACTAGTTGCCACAAGCAGCAGTTTGGATTACTGAATGCAGGTACTTTAACCATTATAAAAAAAAAAATTGCTAATCAAATTGACTTTGTGATATTTATTTTGTGTTTAAGGTTTGTTTACAAATTGAGATGAGGGGATGGAAGCGCAACTGAGCGTGTTAAACCTAAACACGATTGAAGGGTGGGTGTAGAATGAAGTGAAATGTTTTTATGCAGCTTTGTATACCAACTGTGTTGTGTCACCCATTTCTGTTTAGATGAAACTGATAACCGTCCTCCAACTAATGAAATGAATATTCTGTGTCCTCTAACTCATTAGTTAGTGAGGTGAATATTATAATTTTTTTTACTTGGTAATCAAATTTTGAACCAACAAAAAATTAAAAGGAGGGAAACATTGAAACACAGAGTAAATAAACGTAGAAAATTTTATATTTAACAGAGACAAGTATAACACTGTTCTAGTACTGTTATAAAACACACATCAGCACCCGTAGCTTATATCATCCTTAGATAATGTTTTTTTTTCTTAAACGGCAAAAAACAATTTAATCCCTTTTTACTAATATTTAAAGACAATGTAAGAGATAAAAAGAGGAATAAAGATTCACTGATTCTATTTAACTATTCCAAAACTGCACCTGTAACTTAAATCAATTGTTTCTTTCATCGCTAAAACAGTTTAATATCTAAATGACAATATGAAATGGAAGAGATACAAGAAGTAATTTTACTTAAAGAGTGTTTGCTAACATTTACGTTTAACAGAGTTTAGTCAAATAAATCAAATATACCTTACTTTTATAGAGGTAGAAACCTAAAAATACTGCAATAAGGGCTAATATTACTCAGTTCTTAAAAATAACACTAAATTTTCTTACAATAAGTAATAACAAACAACGAGAGAACACTTGTACAATCATTGAAGTAGGTAAGTTGTAAAAGCAGAATACCTACTAGTGATGTGTCAAAACCGAATCTCAAATCTCAAAACCATCAAAACTTTGGAAAAGTTTCAGTTTCGAGATTCGATCAAAAGTTTTCAAATTGAGGATTTTGGCAGTTTTATTTCTGAAACTGCTCATATTTTTGTCCCATTATTATTGTTATTAACACTATTTTCACACAAGATGGTAGCAATAGAGCAAACAGATCACCATTGACAGTAATGAAACAAGTTAATTATATTCTGAACTTCAAAAAGCATTTTAAATACTATAACTGGAATAACATACAATTCAGTTTCATAACAATATTAACTTAACAGAAACACAAAGAAAATATTGATCACTAAATGTTTTAATTGATTTAATTTGCATGTTTATGTTGGTGTCAGGATTTTAATTTATTTGTATGTTGGTTGTTTTTTTAAAAATATGATGTTTTGGGTTTCAAGTTTACCAGTCACATTTATATGTTATTATGTCAGGGTAAGGAGTCAATCTCTTTCAGTTTTGATTGCATAATTAAATTTTAATTATTACCGGTAAATTTAATGATTACCTGTATTTTTTGTAACTTTGGCTTTTGTAAAAGCTAAGTAAACAAGTTTTGCGTTTACGTTTTGAGATTCGAGATTTCTGGTTTTCGACCATCACTATACCTACATATTTTTGCAAAGGAATCTGATTTTAACGAATGCATTTTCAAATCAAGGTTTATATTCTACTTTAAAACATCATACTTTGAAACAATCACTTTGTTTGATTAGGAACCCTGTTTGGTATTTACGAAAACCGAAAACCGAAAACTGAGAAAACACCATCAGTTTTTTTGTACTTATGACTTAATTACTTCGTTTTAACAATTTTCCTTCTTCCAACAACTCGTCTGCTGATCCCACAATCAGCGTATAACCATTCAGTTGTAAGCCTTTTAGTGAGCTGACTATGTTATCGACCTCTTCTTGGTTCCTTACGTACACCACAGCGAAATGCCTGCAACAAATGTTTGCAATGCACTCATGACAAATAAAATTATATTTGGTTATATATTTAGATATTTATTTATATTTAGAGATTTGTGCCCCCTTTCGCTTACTTGTGAGGGATTTTCATCTTCCTTGCACTCTTAACAAATCTAAAACCTTTGGCCCATTTACTAATGAGGCTCCCATGAGGGACTTGTTATTGAGGTTATCCTTAAATATATAATACGTGAAGGTGATTTCTATGAAACACTACTCCTCCATTAATATTGGACGGATCTTTAAAAACAATGAGTCAAAATTAAGTATTTTTTGTGTAGACGCCCCCTTTCACCAATTCCTGTAATAAAAGTCCTCGGGCTTTGCCCCACAGGTCACCAAAATCTTAATGTATTTTTTATGAAACAAAAACAGCTGTTCATAGTAAACACATGATAAACACAAGAGTGTTCGTTTTCATTTTTGATAACTGGAGTCTGATTGATACATTATCTTTGAGTTGTCTCTTTTAAGTCATCGGAAATTATGACCGTTATTCGTATTGAAATAATGCTGTATGCCTAATACATTGCAGTTGCTCGAAATAGAGCAACAGGTGCACTAGTACTGTATAAAAACCAGCCATGTTCTAATGTACGCTGAAAAATTTAAATTTTAACCAGTTATAAGATGCAGTACAAACTGAAATATTCTCAATCATAATTTGTTTAGCGACTTATACTCACAGCTTCGGGTACGGTGGCCTATCATAGTTTTTCATGGCTACATGTAGCGGGTTAACTTTCGCCAACTTGCAAAGATCATAGATGTTGTTCTGACCGAACTTAGGGTGATGGTTCCCGATTACTGCTACCTTTGCTGATGTGGGAGGAGCATTTTCAGCAGGCTGTGGTGCTGGGACTGAAACACATTCGTATTTTTATACTTTTCAATGAAATTGTGACCATACAAAGTAGGTATTTCAAGCCAAGGATGAATGGAGATGAGTATAGGATGAGTGGCACAATTTTGTAGCCTTGTTAGTGACTAAGGCCAACTTATTCCTTAGACACAGCTGTTAATTAATAGCCCATTTTTACCTTGATATTAACAAATAGGTCTAATTATCAGGATAGTACTGCGGATAGTAGTACTCACTAGTGCAAACTTTAATCCACACCAGGGAGTATTTAAAACAGAACTAGAATTTTACAAAATATATTAATTGTTTATTTATCGGTAGCAGATAATGATTTCTAATATCTAATATCAGTACCGCCATAGATAAAAGATAAAACATACTCCCTTAGTAGATTTCTCATCCTTATGGAACAGCTGAAGCCAATTTTATTGTTAGTTCTGTACGGTGCACTGTAGAGGTTGAGTTTTGTTTACAATTTGTTGTTATTTCAGTCATTAAATCTAATCATAAAAAATAATTTGTCCCCTAGTTATATCACCAAACATTAAAGCTCGATCATGAAATCAACCTTAAAATACTAGAAGCAGAATTTCGTCGACACTAGCGCCCAATGTCACCAATTAGACACAAAAAACAAGCTTCAAAATTTACAATGGGATCAGAAGTCTACTTGTGTTTGTTAGTCTACTACTGTATGGTACCATACACAAAAATGATGTCCTTACATGGTACCAGTTTAGGAGGTCTTCTAGCTGAAGGCCTACTCGCACCAGCAAAACCTCCGTCTCCGCCGCCATCATTTCTGCGGTCTGGTCTCTGCTGGTTGAAGTTGTTGGGTCTCCTGCCAAACCCGCTCCCGCTGTCGTTCCTGTTCATCTCTCCAAACCTTGATTTAGGTGCGTCAGTATCCTGGTCTCTAAATAACAAAAATTATTGACAGCTACTTATAGGCACCGTACTAGAATTACTTAACTAAATGTTTTTACAAAGTTAAACACATAAAATCCAGTTTCAATAAAAATGTTCAATTTTGGTAGAAGAACCAACAAGAAAAAAAACAAAAACTGTTTGGTGGGGTAGAGAAGTTTTGGGGCGGGGGTGATTAGCTAATAAAATGTGCTCCAGTTGTAAATAAACAAGGTTGGAGCGGGTGAGATGGTTAAAACATAAATCAAGCCATACCGTATGACAACTTATAGGTAATAATATATAACAATAATAGTGGAACCAAAGACAACACATGTAGCCTACATGGAGCACAACTGTAAAACTTACTTACTCGTAAAACTTTAGGTAGTTCTTGTTTGCAGTAATTTGAGTGTTTACATTTTTTCTGCACCAGCATTACACTTAGGCCTACGCAATGTCAAAAAGGAACTAAGAGTAGGTCAGTCCTGCTTGATTTTGATATTTAATATTTTGTGAAGTTAACTTAGGTTGGATCTGGTTTATTCAGAAATCATTTGACTCTATCCAACTAAAATTGGTTGCAAGAATTATTTATAATAAAATGAATAGTTAGGGGGCCTAATCCACAATACAAGATGTACAGTTAAAATAAAACCTATGGTATGTGGGGGTGAATATGCAAAAATGGACTTCCAAGGGGTGTTCCGTCTTGAAGCAATGAGCGGATGGTCTTGTAGTGCCACCTTCAGGGTGTTGGGTCTACTTACTCTTGCCTGTATCTCCTGAAAGTAGTTAAGTTTTCCAAACTTAAATGCAGCCTCAACCCATGCCAGGACAACACTCATACCCGACAAGGGGCAGAGAACTGTACAGGTTGGCTCAAAAGAAATCCCGAGCAGCCTTGAGTAACCTAAGCCAGACTAAGGGGCAGATGATTAGGCCTACGGACGCCAAAGTGCTAAATACAGCCCTGCCAACAAAATTTACATTGTGGGCGAGTTCCTTAATACCAGTGAACAGGAAGCGTGTTTGGCTGCTCTGGGATTCTGGATCCATTTAATCATCGATTTTATGATAATTATTAGTCATTCATGTCATGGGTATTAGTTTTGTTATGAAATGTATTTTTAGTGAGGTAATTTGTGACAGATACCATGCAACGTGTGAAATTGCTTTTCTTACAATAAAGTATTTATTATTACAAAGCTGCATCACTAGATAAACTAACCAAGCGTGTGACAGTGGTGCTTTTGTGTACGATAGGAAAATAACTAGCTATTAACAGACTATACAACAGCCATTAAAGCAAAACAGTAATAACTTAGGGCATTAATAATAAATTTAAAAAAAATGGTGCTGTGTAGAAATAAAAAGCTCTGAACACTCACAGAACAGAACACTCCCAATTAACCGAGGTTGTTGGGACAGAGACTACCTCATTTACCAAGATCTCTGATAACACCGAGATTGTTTAGATTGGAATCTACCATAATAAAGTAATTAATTATCGTTTCCGACTAAAAATTAAAAATATATAACTTATTTAGGTCTATAACGACCTCAGATAACCAGAGTGCCCTATGACAAGGCATAAGAACCTCAGGGGATTATAACCGAGGCTCGAATAATCGGGAGTGAACTGTACAAGCAAAAGTTACAACACTTTTTACGCATGAATTATTTTGAACATACCCATTAGAGTATTGCTGATATGAGCCTCGTTGCCCATGTCTGAGAGAACACAACAATAATTAGAATACTGTAAAATTAATAGGCCAAACATAAGTTAGGCTAATCAGATAAAATACCAGTTAAGACAGCCTTTTACAAACGCAGAATAACTTCTAACAAGACATCAACTTTTATGCTGGCGTCCTGACCAGTCCAGGTCTGATTATGACTAGGTGAACCCTGTGAAATTAGGCTAAATCCCAAATTTTTTGTCAGCAGCCAACCTCTCACATGAATCTTTGTGACATCAAAGCATTTAAAAGCTTTGTCCATAAACGTAGATTTTCCTTGTATATACTGTAGCCTATATGGATTTGAACGGTTGATATTTATGGCCAATTATCAATTATTGAGATGGGGACGCCACCTAGGTGCGTATTTTAACCCAAATATGAGTGAAGGATGAGTGTAGAATGGTGTGTGATGACCCGTGTAGCTATGTTACTGACTAAGATGAGCGGTTTCATTAGTCAGGATCATTTATTTATAAAGCCCAATGATCAGGAACAGCTGGGTCCAGTTTCGAGCCATCAAAAAGCTACTGACTTTTCTCAGGATCGAACCGGCGACCTGGATAGGCCTACATCAAAACCAAAAAGTTAATCGGTCCCGGGTATTGGTCTTACCATGAGACCTAAAATAGGGGCGGGCCCTATCAAAAACTAGCTACCCCCCTATGGGAATTTAGCTAAAACTGAAAAACATAGTTAGCTGTGGGCTTTGGTATTTATTAAATGCCAAAATCTCGTAAGATAATCTGTAAGTACCTATTTACCATAGGCCTAAAATACAAGAAAATCCGTTGTGACCTTGCATGAAGGTTACACAAGTCTGCTGTGGACGTAACAAGATATTGTACTCTGCGAGAGCAGCAGAAATTTAATAGGCAGCAATATGATCATACAAAAAGGCAGGCTAATACCAAACGAATCCAACAGGCTCCAAACAAATGTAAGGCAGCTTGGGACATTGTAATTAGGACTAGTAAGGCCCGCGCAATTATGAAGTGACCAGTGAGTCCAGTCCAGATGTCTTCAAGCAGTTCATTTTCGGAGAAGTGGATCGGATTGTTAATTCTACACCATTAGTTGATAGTAATTACTATCTGAACTTTGGGGAAGCATTTAATGCAAACAACAATCGGTTCACCAAATGGAGACATGTTATCTCATCTAATGACGGTCATCAAATCTTTTAAGAACTCACTTAGCCCAGATGTCTATGGTATTAAATGTAATTGTGCTCAATAAATTGCAGATGTGATAGCCTTGCCTACCCCCTTTAATACTTTTCAATGAAATGGCAATCATACAAAGTAGGCATTTTAAGCCAAGTATGAATGGAGATAGAGTGTGGGATAATTGGCGCGATCTTGTCGTAAATTCTTAGTGACTAAGTAAGACCTTTTTGGTAGTAGTTAAGTTAATGTCTTTCATCGTGCCCTCAAAGCTGATCGACCTCAAGATGTTCAATAGGCTGCCAGCTGGAATAAAATGCCTGGATAACAACAGTCTCAAGGCCAAAATTCATTCCTGGCTCATTGGTAGAACCTATTGCTCATTGAAGGGAGTACTTAGATCAAACTAGCTTAGGCTGCAAAAAAAAAATACTAGCCTAACTTGTTAAAATAGCCCTTAGTCTAAAGTCCAAATTAATGCAAAACATTCAGTGGTCTTGGTTAGGCCTACATGAAGGGCCTAAGCTAGAATCTGGGCTGCTTTTGTTCAGGCATACAGTTTTACTTTACCAGAGTTTGTTCCGGTTGAACCCTTACAATTTTTATAATGTTAGAAGCCCAATAGGCCTATACTTAGCATGTAGGCTAGCCTAACTTTAAGTTAAGTCTAACAGAATCCGGTACCGTAGCTGTTTGGCTCCGGGGGGTGGGCATTTTTGACAGGGACTGTCTCCCTAATTCTGGTTATTTCCTATTTCCTACTTACTATTTTTGGGGTAAAACATTCCAAACCTCGTACACCCCCTATTTTTGGGGCCAATTTTACATTCCTAATTTTATTAAGTTGGGGGGGCATTTCCTCCCCCCCTTAAAACCAAAATAAGGGGGACTATAGAGGAACGGTGATGGTTCAATTGAATTCCTCGCCCCAAAAATAGAGGGTGTAAGTTACAAGGTCTGGCATGTCTAAGGCCTACCCTAAAAATAGGTGAAATGCAAAGATTAGGGAGAAAAGTCCTGTCAAAAATTCCCACTCTCCAGAGCCAACTTACACCTAACGTACCCAGAGAAATGTAACTTATGTAGGCTACTAACTTAAGTATGTTTAAAAATAAGTTAGGCCTAGCCAAGTTATATATATGACGTAACTACACGGTGCTTCCAGCGATGTGCGCCATTGTAACCGCAGCACAGCTGACGGTAACTTTAAAAATTTAATGGGGTAGGCCTAAAGTCAGCTAACTTAGTATCTAACTTAACCCTTTGAGTGCCAACGCCCGGGGAACCGGACGTTTTTAAAACGAGCCAAAAGTGCCGACGTCCGGCCGACCGGTTGTTTTTAGAACGAGCCAAAAGTGCCAACGTCCGGCTGACCGGACGTTTCGTAATGATCGAACAGTTGTCATAACAACCGAATGGATACTCGGATTCTTTTAACCCATAATATTAACATTGAGTCGAAAGTTACTAGATGTGATACATCGATTTTCGTTGGTCGAAATATCGAAAATTCGATTTTTACGAAATTTTAACCTAAAAATCGCCAGATCGCGCTCGGCATTTTTAACGCGACCTTCGGGAAAAATCATCGGCATTTTTTGAGCGTTACTTTTATTTCTCGCCTGGCACTCTAAGGGTTAACTTAGTTCTTACGATTATGATGAAGCCTAATTTCCAATTAAAAAAAGTCTGTTAGCCTTTAACTTAACTAATGTTACATATGACCAACCTACCGTAGCCTATTATTTTACTTTAAAATGAGCTAATGTTCAGGTGTAAATAAGTAGTTGACTTAGTCTTAGTCTTAGGCCTACCATAAGGTGTCCAAGTCTAATTGTAATCATAAAATTTGAATGGTGAGATTCTTTTTACATCCTGGGTATGCCGTCTAAATCTAACTTAAATGTTTGTCCCTTATCACTTCTGAAGAATTGCACAACAGCATCATGTTGCTGCATGTAATCAGTCTGATTTAATTAGGCTTAATTAAATTATTATTGTTACCTTACAATATCTGTATAGTGTTGGTAGATAAACAACACTAAACACTTGGTAGATACTTAGTTGTTTATCTACCAACACTAAACGGATATTGTAAGGTAACAATAATAATTTAATTAATATAAAGCAATATCCAGAAGTAGGACAATGAATTCTAATTAGGCTTATCGCCTTGAACCCTATCTGTTGTGATAAAACCTAAAATGTGATGTTCCAAAAACACGGTTAGACCTAGTTTGTAACAAGTAAGAAATAATATTACCTGCAAGTTTATCAATGAATTGCTTTCAGCAATCGTGTAGCGGTTATTATATTATTATATATAATAGGCCTAATTGGAAATAAAAATCAAACACTCCAAAAAGATACACAAACTAAGAGGGAGGTTAATGCAAATGCAATAACACCAACACGCTTTATGCTTTATCAAAAATATCAATCTTTAATTTATTGTAGTCCAGAGTTCAGTCAGACAACAAACGAACTGAAACTGAACTGACTGAACATAAATGATTAGAAACCGGAACCGGAAGTGAGAGCAAAAAAGTAAAGCTACGCGGAACGCCAGAACTGATGATTTTTTTTTGTTTAGTATTTTTGTTTATCACTCACACTCGATTCACCGCGGTCCTAACTCCTGAACCCAATCCGATTACTTTAAACTTGGTTTGGTTGTAAACTGAGATTTGAAAGGAAAGTTAATTGAACTTTATCTGATCGACTAAACGCCTAGACGTTAAACTATATATATATAGGCTATTTGTCTATTTGATTATTTAAATAAAAAAAAAAACGTACTGTTTGTTCCAATGTCAAACAAAACTCGTCAAAATATTATGTGATAGATAGGGTGGGGGGCAGAACATGGTGGAAGGAAAAAACATAGGTGTGCTATTCCCACATATTCTGACGTCACTCGGATTGCAAACAAAAGATCATCTGATTGTAACTGTCAAATTTAGTATGTATTTGTTTTTATTTGATTGTTATTGTTTTTATAATAATAAAAACAATAACAACCAAATCAAAACAAATACATATACTGATTTGACAGTTATAATCAGATGATCTTTTGTTTGCAATCCGAGTGACGTCAGAATATGTGGGAATAGCACACCTATGTTTTTTCCTTCCACCATGGGGGCAGAAGTCGCAGAGAGTAAAAAGTAAAGTGTATGTTAGTTTGTTTGGATGTGTTTGCGTATACAACACTCCACCGGCTCTGGCTTCCCCAAAACCACATGACAACGGCGCTGTCGAGATTGCCGTCTGACGCCACGGCCGCCTTTAACTCCAGTGGTCGTGGCCTACGAACTGGCAACGTCGCAAGTGGTGTTGTAACAGCTGTTTTGTTTGGAAGCAGCTAATGGTATTTGTGTATTTACGAAAGATTTGATACTGGACTATGATAATATTGTCTCCGCTTAAAATGTACAGATTTTTAATTCGTATTGTTTCGGTTTTCAATTCTGTATGTTTTATTTTCAATATTTTGATAAATTTATGTTTATAAATTTAAATTTAAATCAATTAAGTGAGAATTAATGGGCTGATGTCACCTGTCTGCCATGCTATCGTATGGGACGTCTGACACGGAACAACACCACTTGCGACGTTGCCAATTCTACCAGGCCGCGGCCTGCTGACACCCACGAATACTAAAAGTCTGACGCCCTGCGCCTGTGCACTCGCATCTTGTTTACCCGCAACGTTAGTCAATCAATCAATTATTATTTAAGATGAGGACTATTCATGGATTATTCAAGTTTACATTTGTTTGCATAAAAACAGTTGTCCATACACAGGATGTCCACCGACCGGG